TCTCCCTTGATCTCCTCCAGAAGATTTCTTACGTATTTGGGTGCTCCTATATTGGGTGCATATATATTTACCAGAGTTATTTCTTCTTGTTGGACTGCTCCCTTTAGTATTATGAAGTGGCCTTCTTGATCTCTTTTTATGTCCTTCACTTTGAGATCTAATTTGTCAGATATAAGTATTGCTACCCCGGCTTTTTTTTCACTTCCATTGGCCTGAAAACCCTTTTTCCATCCCTTCACCATCAGTCTGTGTGCGTCTTTTTTTCTGAGGTGGGTTTCCTGTAGACAGCAGATATATGGGTCATGTTTTCTTATCCACTCATTTACCCTATGCCTTTTGACTGGGGAATTTAATCCATTTACATTTAAAGTTATTATTGATAGAAACTTGTTAGTCGCCATTTTTGTTCTTTACCGCTGCGTTCCTTCTTTGTTTCCTGTTTTTTTCTATTTACAGCAGACCCTTTAGCATTTCTTGCATTGCTGGTTTGGTTGTAATAAACTCCCGTAGACCGTTTTTGTCTGTGAAGCTCCTGATTTGACCATCAATTTTGATTGATAGCCTTGCTGGGTACAGTATTCTGGATTCAGACTCTTCCTTTGCATGACTTTGTATATTTCATTCCATTCCCTTCTTGCCTGATGTGTTTCTGTTGAGAAATCAGTCGCTAGTCTGATGGGGGATCCTTTGTAGGTAACTTTCTGTCTCTCTCTGGCTGCTTTTAAGATTCTTGCTTTGTCGTTGGTGTTTGCCAATTTAATTATTATGTGCCTTGGTGTCGGTCTTTTCGTGTTCATTTTGTTTGGGACTCTGTGAGCTTCTTGGATTTGTGTGAGTTTTTTCCTCCCTATATCAGGGAAATTTTCTGTTACTATTTTTTCAAACAGGTTTTCTATTCCTTGCTCAGTTTCCTCTCCTTCTGGCACCCCTATTATTCGGATGTTGTTTCGTTTAGCATTGTCCCAGAGTTCTCTTAGGCTCTCCTCCTGCTTTTTAATTTTTTTTTCTAGAAGCTGTTCTGTTTGGGTATTTTTTTCTACCTTGTCTTCTAGCTCTCTGATGCGGTCCTCTGCTTCTTCTAGTCTACTGTTGATGCTTTCTATTGAGTTCTTTATGGCAGTGATGTCATTTTTCATTTCTTCTTGGTTTCTCTTCATTTCCTCTTGGTTCCTACACATATTGTTGAATTGGTCTTCCATTCTTTTCATCCACCTTATGGCCATTTCTCTGAATTCTTTCTCTGACAGGTTGCTTGCCTCCATTGCCTCCATTTTGTTTACTTCCTTTTCTGATGATGCCTGTTTTTCTTTCATATTTGGGTTGTTTCTTTGTTTCACCATGATTTCTCTTCTCAAGGTGTTTGGTTATGTAGTTCTCTCTCTGCTGCGCTTTCCGTGAGAAGAAGCAGTGCACGTCTGAGTTCATGCAGTCACACTGCTTGCAATCCCTTGTTTCCAGGTTAGTAGCTGGTCTCTGGATGCCGGCAACAACCACCCAAGATGGCGTAGTCTCCGCTGCTTAGCTGGTGCACCATGAGAGGTTTCAGCCGCAGTCTCCAACCGTCCTTTTTTTCCTGGGGGTTCTCGGTCTTTCCTAGCTGCAGACAGTCTCTCAGCTGAAAATCCTCTGCCTATTCGGGCTGTATGTTACCCGTTTCAGCTGCTCACCCTTATCTGCTCCAGGACAAGGCACAGGACACGTCCCTTTATACCACCGCCATTTTTCCTCCCCCCACTTCCTGGTTCTTGATTGCATTCTGTCTCTTTGTGGCTGCTGGACAAAGGACTGGCAGTAAAATTGGGGGTTTCTGTTTTGGCTTCCTCCCTTGAAGCCAACATTCTCTTCCTTCAAACTCTTTGCTGCATCATTAGTGTAATTCTGGTCTGCAGGGACCAAAGGTTCTATTGCTGCCTAAGTCTAAAACGTGGTGCTGCGTTGTGTCCAAATATGTGCTTTGTAAATGCCTTTTGGTCCCGTAATTCATCTGGAGTTTTTATTTAAATATTTAATGATGCAAAAACTGGTGTAAGTGCCTCCTTAGGGAATCTTGGGAAAGTACAGGGATGTAATCAAGTGGTTTGCAATTGTGCTTATATATTTTTGACTCTGATTTGAAAAGAAAGACCCGAGTTATTCAAGAGGATGTTCACATATATTCTTTTTAATTAAATCTTTATTGTTCAGATTATTACATTTGTTCCTCTTTTTTCCCCCCATAACTCCCCTCCTCCCAGTTCCCGCCCCACCCTCCACCCTCACTCCCCACCCACTGTCCTCATCCATAGGTGCACGATTTTTGTCCAGTCTCTTCCCGCATCTCCCACACCCCTTTCCCCCCCAAGAATAGTCAGTCCATTCCCTTTATATGTCCCTGATTCTATTATAATCACCAGTTCATTCTGTTCATCAGATTATTTATTCACTTGATTCTTAGATTCATTTGTTGATAGATGCATATTTGTTGTTCATAATTTGTATCTTTACCTTTTTCTTCCTCTTCCTCTTCTTAAAGGATACCTTTCAGCATTTCATAGAATCCTGGTTTGGTGGTGATGAACTCCTTTAGCTTTTCCTTATCTGTGAAGCTCTTTATCTGACCTTCAGTTCTGAATGATAGCTTTGCTGGATAAAGTAATCTTGGTTGTAGGTTCTTGGTATTCATCACTTTGAATATTTCTTGCCACTCCCTTCTGGCCTGCAAAGTTTCTGTTGAGAAATCCGCTGACAGTCATATGGGTATTCCCTTGTAGGTAACTGAGTTTCTTTCTCTTGCTGCTTTTAAGATTCTCTCTTTGTCTTTTGCTCTTGGCATTTTAATTATGATGTGTCTTGGTGTGGTCCTCTTTGGATTCCTTTTGTTTGGGGTTCTCCGTGCTTCTTGGACCTGTAAGTCCATTTCTTTCACCAGGTGGGGGAAATTTTCTGTCATTATTTCTTCAAATAGGTTTTCAATATCTTGCTCTCTCTCATCTTCTGGCACCCCTATAATTCTGATGTTGGTACGCTTGAAGCTGTCCCAGAGGCTCCTTACACTATCCTCGCATTTTTGGATTCTTTTTTCATTCCGCCCCTCTGGTTGGGTGTTTTTTGCTTCCTCGCATTTCAAATCATTGACTTGATTCTTGCGCTCCTCTCGTCTGCTGTCGGGAGTCTGTATAATATTCGTTATTTCAGTCCGTGTATGCTTAATTTCTAGTTGGTTCCCCAACATAACATCGAGGGTCTCATTAGTTTTCTTCTAGATCTCATTAAGTTTATCGGCGGCTTCTAAACAGTTCTTGAGAGACCTTAAAAGTGTGGTTCTGAACTCTATATCTTCCATTGACAATTTTGTCCTGTTTCTTTGTCTCCGCATTTTGTTATGCTTTCTTGGTGCACCCCCTAGTGGTCTTTGTGCGCAGTCTTGTAGTTAAGCCTTGATTTTTGTAGCTAATACCAGGGAGGGTTTGACCTCCAGGCCAAGTGGCTGTGAGAATCAGCTGTGTCTGCAGTGAGAGAACTTCTGTCCTCTAGGGAGGTGCTAATCTAGCCTTTGCCTGAGGCTATCCGGCAAATGCCTCTGTGCAGGGCTTGGGCGGGGCGGGTTGCACAGGATCAACAGGGTGGGCTGGAGAGAGCAGTTATGGCGGCTCTCAGTCCTGTCCCCAGGGGCTCTGCCTCTCTGAGTCCCAGCAACCACTGCAAACCTCAGAGAGAAAGCTGCACTCGCTCTGACCGAAGCCAGACAGTCCCGCTTCTCCCGTTTGAGTCTGGGTCCCTAAAGACTCGCCCGTATCTGGAGCTCAGAGTCTGCGACTCCCTCCTGATTGAAAACGCCAACCACGCCCTCCGCCGCCAGCCCACTCCTCGCACTCCGCACCTCAGAATTTGACTTCAGCACTGCGCTTCCTCTGAGTGTCCGTATGCGTTTCTCTTTCCTCCTAGTTGTAGGACTTCCACTCAGCCAGTGTTCCTGTGGTTCTTGGTGATGTCCGTTCTGTCTTTTATTTTCACTTTTGAAGTAGTTGTTCAAGGCAGCAAACTCTGGAGTTAACCTATGCCGCCATCTTGGTTCTCCAACATATTTTTTTTTAAATATATTTTTTATTGATTTCAGAGAGAGGAAGGAAGAGGGAGAGAGAGATAGAAACATCAATGATGAGAAAGAATCATTGATCATCTGCCTTCTGCATGCTGACCAGGAATCTAACTGTGACCTCCTGGTTCATAGGTCAATGCTCAACCATTGAGCCACACTGGCTGGGTGAGGATGTTTACATCTTACAGAAACCTTATCCTAAGGAATGAGGGGGTAATCATTCTTTTTTTCCCCCAAATTTATTTTTATTGACTACAGAGAGGAAGGGAAAGAGAGATAGAAACATCAATGATGAAAATCATTGATTGGCTGCCTTTTGCACGCCTACTGGGGATTGAGTCCAGAACCCCAGCATGTGCCCTTGACTGGAATTGAACCTGGGACCCTTTAGTCCACAGGCTGACACTCTACCCACTGAGCCAAACCAGCTAGGATGAGGGGTAATCATTCTTAAAAAGAAAGAGGGAGGTGATGCCCTGGCTGGGTAGCTCACTCAGAGCACCATCCCAATAAACCATGGTTTTAGATTCCATCCCCAGTGAGGTCAGGACACATACAAGAAGCATCCAGCGAATACATAAATGGAACAACAAATCTCTCTCTCTCTCTCTCTCTTTCTCTCTCTCTCTCTCTCTCTTTCTCTCTTCCCCTCTCTTTAAAAATCAATAAATAAAATGTTAAAAGGGGGAGGAAATGCCAAGTCATTTCCTAGACTTACTGCTTCTTATCCTTCCTGTGTTGTAATGGTTGTTTGTGTGAGCAATTTAAAAAGCTATTTCTTTGCTCTCAGCTAAATATGTCTCCAGCTGCCTAGTTCTGCTGTAGGGTCTCAGTGTGACCTCATGGTTCTGGGTATTTTCATTGCAAAAATCCAGACCAAAGTTCCATTTCTTTTGTATTAGAAGGATAAAGAAGACGAATAGAGAGGGATGGAGGACATGCTGGCCCACAATCACCTTGATGGTTTCATGGAAGGGCTTGGAGGTAATGAAGCTGATATAGGCTGAGTAGAGCCACAGTGTGACTTTCACGGACCTTAGGCACTTTTGCTTTTGTGGACCCCTTCTTTCATTGCAAATATGAAAACTTATATTTTATAACTGCGTTGACATATAGCAAATACATTAATATTGCCTATTAAAACATTTTTGTGGACCCCTAAAAGTATTTTGATCCCTAGGCACTGTCTCTCCTCTGCCTAATGTATAAGTCAGCCTGTAAATGAACAATGGGAAAAGAAAGTCGCTTGACTCCTTTTCTCAGGGTTTAAAGGTATCTGGGTTCCGATTTGTTCTTAATGATGCCTATGCTGGGGGAGGTTATGATCATAAATAAGGTGAATGAATGGGGTGGGAGGACTGTGGAGAGTTGACCAGCTGAAGCTCAACCACCTCCCAGATATGGGCTGCTTATCTATCTATCTATCTATCTATCTATCTATCTATCTATCTATCTATCTATCTATTTTTCAGATATATCTTTATTGATTTCAGAGAGGAAGGGAGAGGGAGAGAGAGATAGAAACATCAATGATGAGAATCATTGACTGGCTGTCTCCTGCATGCCCCCTACTGGGAATCGAGCCCACAACCCAAGAAGGTGCCTTTGACCAGAATCGAACCTGGACTCTTCAGTCTGCAGACCCATGTTCTATCCACTGAGGCTAGGGCTGGGCTGCTTATCTCTTTACCTTCTCTGTATGATACAGATGGCGTTACAGTCTCTACTCCAGGAGGGTCCAGGGTGATCGTCCCATTTCACAGATGGAGTGCCTAAGGCATTGTGAGAGGAGCCTGGGTGGCTTGCTCTGCTGCAGCGAATTCAGATTCTAATGCCTTCTTGCTTTCTTGGCAACAGAAAGAAGAAACACTTAAAATGTTCTGACTATGAAAGTCAGAAACATTATATAAAAATTTGAAAATAAAGGAAATTGAGAGAAGATTTAAAAAAAACCAAGAACCTTTTAAAACCTTAGAGCCAACCAACCACTGTCCACTGCACCATGAAGGTATGTAAACGGGTGACTCACACCACAGGTGGGAAAGGACTATTCAAGCTCCCTGGAGCTGAACCAGGACTACTGGCTGTTGCTGCTATTTCTGCCTGATGTCACCCTCAACTATAAAATGGCTGGATTTTACTACACCCTCTTCTCAAGGCTTATAAACTACAATGTTAACCGAAGAGGGTAGATAGCAACATTTGCATACAGTATGACCTTAATTGTATAGAAACATGCATATACATTTGAGGAAAGTAATAGCTAATTATGTCAACAATGGTATTAGTCCAAAGAAGCTCCTGTGTGGGTGAGAGACAGCTATTTGGGGGATGGTAGCTTTTCAGCACCATATAAACCCAGCCCCGCAGGCAATTTCCTATGCATAGGCAATTTCCTATTCAATTTCCAGGCTGTTTCCTATGAATAATGTTGCTGCTGTTTATGCTCCAGGAAGAGGGCAAGGGGGATGGTGATCCTTCCATGCCAAAACCCCAAACCTTTGGAGGTAGCTGTCCTTCCTCCCCTCCTTTTCCCCGTGAGCACGAAGCAGGGTTTCTGCAGGCTCCTTTTATGTATTTGAGGCTGGCAGTGGGTTTTCGGAGCCATTCCCTTGGGAACATGATTCTATTCTCTACCTAAAAGCAAGGATACAATTAAAACTACGAATCAGAGAACAATCAAGGGAAGTAACAACTCCACAGTACTGTGAAGAAGATGCCATTGAACAGGCAGTTTCTGCAGCAGCCTCTTCTTACTGTGGCCACAAATGCAGAAGAGCAGCTCTGGTGCCCCTGCAGACCCTCAGAAGCAGAGTCTTCCCAGCAGGCAGGTGTCTGGCTCACCCCAGAGAGATAGGGATCTGCAGACGAAATATTTTGTCTTCCTCAGTGGCCTGACCCAGTGTCTTACAATGTTTTCCTTAGTTCTAACCTCAATCCTGCCTACTAAGGTTTCCTCCCATATCTGCTTTCCTTGGTGAGGACAGAGAACATTGGCTCCTGTGTCCCCATCTGATAACCTTCTGAAGCTCGATGCTGGTTTTGCTGGGTGTCTATGTCAAGCCCTGTATATTAGAATAACACCAGGTTAACAGACTGAGTCTACCAGTAAACAGTACACTCAATAATTTAATTTAACAAATATTTGAGCACCTACTAAATGCCAGGTAGGAAAGAAATAGGCACAGGCTGAACTAGAGGTTGTCATGTGCTACTCAAATACTGCATTCAGAGGCTCCAAATATGCTTTCAGTTTTTTTGTGAGCTTTAGGCAGATAGATGGACTTGGGTTGAATGTACTTACTATTTATGTTCTGCAGGGCGAGCTACTCGCTTATCTGAGTCTCAGTTTTGTTAGCCACAAAATGGGGATAATAAAACACATTTCACAGGTTTCAGAATAAATGAAATCATTTAAGCAAAGCATAATTCTTAATAGTGGAAGTCATTTTATAAATGTTGCTCCTTCATTCAGGTTTGATAATGATTTGGTGATGGGGATATCAGAGATATTGGGTATAATGTGAGATTGATTTTTTTAAATTATATATATATATATATATATAAAATTGTTCACTATTTGAGTCAGTTATAATTTCACATTGGCTTCCTACAAACTCACTTATGACCTATTATTAATATACCAACATTTTTCCATGGCCATTTTGGCTCAGTGGATAGAGCGTCGGCCTGCAGACTGAAGGGTCCCGGGTTCGATTCCGGTCAGGGGCATGTACCTTGGTTGCGGGCACATCTCCAGTGGGGAGTGTGCAGGAGGCAGCTGATCGATGTTTCTCTCTCATCGATGTTTCTGACTCTCTATCTCTCTCCCTTCCTCTCTGTAAAAAAATCAATAAAATATATTTTAAAAAAATATACCAACATTTATTTACCCAACAAATATTTCTTAAGTATCTTTTATGGTATAGTCAATGTATGCCAAAGGAATAAAAACCCCTGTTAATATAAACTTGGTCCACACATGACCAGGAAGGGAAATCTGCTATGAAGAAAATCCTGTTTGGAAGGACTTTCCAGGACAGAGGGAGACGGGCTCAGAGAAGCACAGCTGCCAGCAGAGACACTTCTCAAATGCTGGCAGAGGAACGCTTAACAAGTGCCTGACTACAGAAGAATCCTGGGAGCCTGGATTTGCCTCTCATTCTTGAATTGCCTTTATTCTGGGAAGCAAGCAGAGTGCTGTGTCAATCTGCGAAGAAGGAGGCAGAATTATAAATAGGATATGTGCTAGAAATAGGAAATAAGATGAAAGATGGCATTTAGGGCTTTCTCGGCTCTTCCTTCCTTAAGCAGAGGGAGAAAGCCATCCACTTTTGGTGGGGACAAGAAATTCAGGAGTCATCATTCCAAGAGAAGTGGTAGGGAGAGAGGAAGTGGAAAGTATGAAAATGGTGGAAATTGGAGAAATGGAAAGAACTGAGTGAGACATGAACAGAGGGGTGCGAAGGTAGGCTGGCTCCCCATGGCAGATGAAATGAAACCAAAGAGAAAAAGCCAGTGCTGAAACCAAGAATGAAGATTTACCTAGCTGGAGAGAAACTTAAAATAAGATAGGAGTCACACATGACCAGAAGAGGAATTGGGGGGGAAAATAATTAAAAAGCTTAAGCCATAAAAATGGAACTAGGTGGAAGGCTGAGATGACTGTGAGATAGAAGGCCAGGCCTGATCAGTAGCATTCCCAGGCAGCTCCATTTACCCCAAAGCTGACATCGACCTTCAGCACTCAAGGTGAGTATCTTCAAAGACATTATTGAATCCATAATGAGGTGTCCTTCTATCAGGGGTGAGAAAGGGTTCTAACGATGGCTGAGGGAGGCTATAGCAGGGAAAGAGTCTTGTAGTTGAAGATGGGTTTTAGTCCCAGTGTTGCCATTAAGTAGGCAGGCAACTTTCAACAAGTCACCAGCCTAACCTCTGTGAGCTGGGTTTGACCATGGACTACCATGAATTGCCTAGTTGATCTTGATCTAGTTCCTTCCCTTATCTAGGCTTCTTTTTCTTTTTCCAAACAGTGATGGATATCAGGCTCTGTGTCTTAAAAGCTGCTGCCTGCTGTACAATTCTACATTTTTTTCCTTGAAGTATAATGGACATACAACATTATATCATTTCCAGGTGTACCACATAATGATTCAATATTTGCATATTCTACTTTTTAATACTTGGGTGAATGCTTTGGATGGGCGAGAATAGTGACACCCCTCCCTCCCACTTAATTTGTTCTACAATAGGAAACAGCTCTCATGGAGAACATCCAGCCATAGTGCTAGATCAGGGGTGGGGGACATCCAGCCCAAGGGTAGAATGAGTCCCTAGAATCAACTGCAGGAGGAACTTGAAATTCAATAAATCTAGGAGCTTTTTTCACGGCCACATACATTTATATTAAGTACTAGTACATTATAGTAAGTGAATGATGTTATCAATATCCATATGGCCCTTGGCAGAAAAAAGGTTCCCCACCTCTGTGCTAGATGAATGGGTAGCCTTAAATCCTGGGCTAGCCAGAGTACATCTCCTTTTGTTCTGCAGAGATTCATGCCTTCTACTACTTCTCTGCATTGCAGTTTGGATCTATGCTGCTTGTGTCAGGGAGCTCCAGGAGTTAGGCCACGCAAGAGAGTTTTTAGCAACTACCCACCCAAGATAAAGTGGGAAGAAGGCCTATAGATGACATAAAATGAAGGTTCTTCAAGGTGGTCTTGAGAGAAACAGTATACCAGCAATCTTCAGAGGAGATGAGATGTACCTAATCTTGCAAGTAGAAGGCATGGGACTGTAGGGATGGTTCTGTTTCGTTTACCTGAAGTAACAGGTCTTTCTGAGGCTAAAATAAGAATTTGGGGTCCAGCTAATGTGGCCCAGCTGTTGAGCGTCGACCTGTGAAGGTTTCTGTTTCGATTCCCCTGCAGGGCACGTGCCCTGGTTGTGGGTTCCATCCCCAGTCGGGGGCGTGCAGGAGGCAGCCATTTGATGATTCTCTGTCATCATTGATGTTTCTATCTCTCTCTCCCTCTCCCTTCATCTCTGAAATCAATAAAAATATTTTTATTAAAAGAAAACGAATTTGGGGAAGTCATAGGGACAGCAAAGTACATCAGTCAGTGTTCAGAACTGTACTATGACATAATATTGTCCAAACTCATTAATTAGGAACAGCCATGTGATATATATAGGAACTTGCATTCTTCTTCCTTAAAAATTACATGACCAATTCAGCTTGAGGCAACAATGTGTCCTCCCATGAGCATTACTAAGGTTGTCTTGGCCAGAGGTCCTTATAAAGATTATCTAAGTTACTGTAGAGATTCTGTTACTTCTGCTCTTCCCCTCTTCCCTCTTGGTCATCTCTCCCCCATCTCCTCCCCCCCCCCCAAAAAAAAAAAATTAGTATGCAAAACCCCACCCCATTAGAGAAATAAATTGAATGTTATCAGCCTTTATTACCTTGTTCATTAGGGGAATTCTGAAATAGCTCAAACCTTATACATTTTCAACAAAGGTATAAAACCAGGAAGTGGGTCACTGGGTCACTCAGTGTCTGGGTGGGTATAAGCCTTCGATGCTGGGAATCCTGGTCTAGGAGACAGGAGACTCATTATTATATCTCGGGTTGTAAAAAGTATTCTCCATATCTCTGGGGATGAATGTGGGTCTTGGTCAGAAACTGTCCTCATGGACAACCAAGGCCATTACCAGGAGGCAGAGCGTTCCCTCTGCTATGAATGTTTTGTTAATGACAAAATGTGTTGTTTTGGCAAATTGATTGACTACCGTAACTTCTTTGAAGGAGGCAGACATTTTGTACTGATAAGTTGATGGCAAAGTCAGACTGAGTATTGCTCAGGATTAGAGCTTTATTTGAGTCAGGACCTGGCTCCTCTACCTGCTGCCCTAGACAGGCAGTATCAGCATCTTCTGGGAGCCTGTTGGGACTACAGAGTCTCAGGCCCACACCAGCCCAACTGGGTCAAAGCTGCACTGACAAGGTTCCAGGGTGGTTTGCATGCCCATTGATGTTTAAGAAGCACTGGGTTGGTGCTCCTCTTAAAAAGAATCTAAGTCTCTTCCAGAAGGTTACCAGAGGCCAGACATTGTAAATGACTACAGGTTAATCAGACTATTTTTCATTTATCCCTTAACTAAAATGAGCCAGAATGGGCATTCTGTTTGAAAGGGAGGTGGTGCAGAAATCATCAAACCCCCAATCCCTGACCCCTACTTAACCTCAGCTCTTACCACAAGGATCTGGCATATAGTAGGACTCAACACGTTTTGTTGTTGTTATTTGGCTGAATAACAACTGGTTCACAATAATAAAGAATATGTGGTTTTCACTATTTGCCATGCCCTAAACTCCATGTCCTAATTCCTGGAACCTGTGGATATGTTACCTTACGTGGCAAAGGAGAATTGGTCAGCTGAGTTGGACACAGGGAGAGTATCCTGGTTTATCCAGGTGGACTCAGTAGAATCACAAGGGTTCTGGAAAGCGAAAGAGGGAGGCCAAAGAGGTCAGAACCAGAGAAACCACTGTGAGAAGAACTAGAGCTGCCCTTGCTGGCTTTGAAGATGGAGGAATTGGGCCATTAGTCAAGGCATGTGGGTAACCTATAAAAGCTGGAAAAGGCAGGAATGGATTCTCCCCTAGAACCTCCAGAGAGGAATGCGGCCCTGCTGACCCTTTGACACCCCCCGCCTTCCCCCCCTCCTCCCCCCGTAAGATCTGGGTTGGACTTTTTACTTAGAGAACTTTATGACAGTAAATTTATGTTATTTTAAGCCACTACGTTTGTGGTACATTGTTATGGAAGCAATAGGAAACTAATACATGGTACTAGCAAACAGTTCATTCATTTTGAACATGAAAAACAGACGAATAAAAAACTACCTCTCATATTTAAAATATCCTTTGGAATTCAGGTGCCCAGGCTTCAGTTAGTCCCATTCTCAGTTTATGGAATATCATCACCTACGCATGGAAGAACCCTCTCTCTTTTTCAGAAAACAATTTTCATGTTATTTTTTTTCCTCTTCCCTTTCTTCCCCTGTTTCTGCCACCACCCCCAACCCCATTGCCCTCCTCCCACAGGAATTCACTCTAATATATTTAATATAGTCCTTTTAATCCACTTGATGGATGCTTACTTAGCTATATGGGCACTTGTACAAAAGCATACAAGGCTTTTTTATGGAATACATTGCATTATAAATCTCATTGTTTTTACTTTTCTCTCTCAACTCTGTTTTTTAGATCAATTCAGGTTGCTTATATAAAAATCTAGTTCCTTATCTTGTTGTAGGCATGCCCCATGTTTTACTTGTGCACTCCTTAGAGATGGACACTTAGGGTACCCTCAGCAGTGTGACACTAAACTTCCTTATGTCCATTTCCTTGTGTTCCCACAAAGAATTTCCCAGGTGTACACTCAGGGGTCAACTTGCTGGATTTTAAGTACTTGATTGTCCTTCAGAATGACTTCACCAGCAGTGGATGAGGGTTCTATTTCCTCACTTCCTTGCCAACATTTGGTAATAATATCTGACCCCAAAAGCACATATAGCTGTTGGCAACAACTAGCTGTGAAAGGAAGTATAGATGACTTAGTGGAAATCATGCTGTGAATGCAGAACGGGCAGAGAGAAATTAGAAAATAATTCTTCGAGAAAGTGAGTCTTATAAGAAGTGACAGATGGGCTGGGAAGGTGAAAGCTTTCTAGGCAGGATGTGTGCAGGGCTTGCAAGGTCTCAGGCTAATCACCACTGAATGGAGCTTATGGACGGGGAGATTTCTGACCATAGCTCTCTGGCACTCAGTCCAATCTGCTTCCAGCCTCCCACTCACCTTCCCACCCAAGGAAATAAGTCTTTTCTGAATTTCCCTGGGGATCTGAGGGGCTCTTGGCTCACAACCCTCTCTCTTCTTTAAGTCTCTTTGCCACTTTGTAAATTTATACAATTTATAAAATTGATGAGTTTTACCAGATGCATATTCCTAGGAACTCACCACTGTAATCAACACATAGAACATTTCTTTCATCCCCCAAAGTTTTGGACATGTTTGCTGTCCATTTTGCCCTCTGCCCCATGGAACCACTGATCAGTTTTCTGTAACTATAAGGAAGTTTGTTTTTTTTCCAGAATTCTACATAAATAGAATTTTATAGTATACTAGGGCCCCAGTGCACCTTGAAAGGAACTGTGGGCTGCAAGGCTGTGGTGAGCATAGGGGTGGGTCTCGGCCCATCCTGCCATGGCCTCCGGTCCCCTGTCTGCTGGCAGCCCCACTCCTGCCGCCACCGTTCCCACGCACTGATGGCACTGGTCCCGCTTGCACCCACTGATGGCACGGTGCGATTGGGGCCGGCGTCAGCAGCGGGTGCGAGTGGGGGCTGCTGCCCCGATCATCCCTCAGGAGCAGGGGGAGGTGGAGAAGCCCTGAGGGGTGATCGGGGACAGCAGCCACTGCTCGCACCCACTGATGGCACCAAGTGATCGGGGCTGGTTTCTGGAACTGGCAGAGGTGCGAGTGCGGAGCGCAGGAGCAAAGAATTTTCAGTAACCACCAGAGGCTTGCCCCAATGACAGTGACCAGTGCCACACCTTGGTCTGGTGCCCCCGCTCACCTGCTCCACCATACTGCTGTGGCCAACACCTGTAATGTTCTGCACGTGCCCCCTGATGGTCAGCACACATCATAGCGACCAGTTGTTTGGTTGTTCAGTTGTTCTACCATTTGGTCTATTTGCATATTAGCCTTTTATTATATAGGATAGTAGAGGCCCAGTGCATGAAATTCGTGCACAGGTAGGGTCCCTAGCGGCTGGCAGCTGCCAGCCAGGGCCTTCCTTCCTGTAGTTGGCTGGCTGGCCCCGCCCCCTGGTTGAACTCCTGGTAGAGGGGACAATTTGCGTATTAGGCTTTTATTATATAGGATTCTTTTGTGTCTGGCTTTTTTCACTCAGCATAGTTATTTTGAGATTCATTCACCTTATAGAAATATCAATAATTTATTCATTTTCATTGCTGAATATTATTTCCATTGTATGACTATATCACATTTTATTTATCTACTTGTTGCGAGACAT